ATGTGCACATATGAATTACAGTCCTACGTAAGTTGTCTGCCAAACGTATTTAAAAGTTTTAGCACTTGGAGTATATTAGTATATTTTTTATGCTTTATTCAGTAATTTGCAGATCTGTGTTCAACAATAATACTTATTTAAATGTTAATTGGAGAACGTTTAAGCTGACTCTGGATTATCGTAGATTCTTTGTGATTCATTCTTGACGAATTACTCAAGTAAAAATTTAATTCTTTTGATTGGGACCAATAAAATAGTGTTCATAAAGAATGGAAATAAAATATAAGGGACTTACTCGAAACGACTCTCTCCTTGTGATGTTTGTCTCTAAATGCATAAGGTTTATTTTAACTAACCCATCATTTCATATGTTTAGACCCGTCCTTCATTTTCACCGTTTTGTTTAACTTATCAAAATATGAAAATGAGATGAATTTTAAATAGGAATAAGAATTTAAATTTACTAGAGAGTTTTTCATCTTCAGTTGTCGTGCTAAAGTTATTCTGGTACTGCCCCTGGCTAAAAACTGAATTTAAAACTTTCACTTGAAAGTATGTAGTGTTATATTAATCTACTCAGTTCATTATGATTTAGATCTTTACTGTCACTTCTTCTTTCCGTTTGCCTATCAGAATGCAAATCAGGTTAAGCGTATTTACAGTTAGGTTTTCAGATTGTAATCAGAGCGTATTTCTGCCTCTAGCTCCTTCGCGCCGACTGTCACGTATACGTGCCAGCAACGAACACACTTATCTACCGGCCGACACGCAGGCGTGCCAGAGTATTGTTGCGTTTACTACCGACTGTCACGTATTTGTGCCAGTACCTTGGAACGTTTTTCAAACTATAATTTCTGCCACAAGATGGCACTGTATGTCCATATGGTTTCAGATACATGTACATTAGACCTTTTACTCGAAATGAGAGAAGCGACTACATACACGTGTTTTGATTATAAACAAACGGGGAACTAAATGTTCCGAATGGGGTGATTTATGACGTCTCTTTAAATCGCACTTCGCATTCGCATGTGGTAGTGTTTATTGTAAGTAGAAGGTTTTTATATGCGCTAAAGCGTTGAGTATTTCGGTTTACAGTCAGTTTTAGAAAATAATTAGATCTTGTTAGACGTGAATTCTTTCTGTTTTTACCGTTTCAATGTCGAAGCGCGTCGAAATGTTTAACAGAGCATGAAATAGCAGAGAAATGATGCAAAATATTTCAGTATTGATCTGAATTCTGATATTTGATATTGATTCTGAAAGATTAACTGAAAGACATTTTCCAAAAACTTGTTGAGAAGATACTGAGAAGAGATGAGACGACGATGCTTCGTTTGTTCACATTCCGAAAAAATCCTCCAAAACGGCAAATGAGTTATTACGAGTTCAAGGAATGTAACGTAGGGACTGTGTGTAGATCCTGTTTTAAAATTTTTCATACGAAAAGAGAATTTAAGTATATATTTAATTTTCAGATGTATAATGTTAAAAGTCATAAAATGGTGAGAGTAATTAAATAAAATGTGCAAATATTCATTTAAACAAGAATTAAGGTAATAAAGTATATATAATATAAATATTATAAAAGCATAAGCCGTTAATACTCTATAGAGCATTATTAAACAATGCGTTTGATACTTCGGAAATTTCATGGATTTAGGCTTAGTAGCAAAAAGGCCCCCGGCTCTGGAGAGACGCTCGCGGAAGACACTGCCGGCCTCCGCGATAAGCGCGCGTTTTCGCTACCCGGCTCGAAGAGGCTAGAGGCCATGTTACTGTACTATCTCTCGAGCCAACTCTGATAAGATTAAATTATTTGGCTCTGTGTTAGAGTAGCCGACAATTAAACTGTTTCGCCGGTGAGAAGTTTCAGCCAACTTCGTGTTGTGTACCCTTAGTTTTAAATCTTGAAATTTTTTACATATTTAATATACTTTAAGTTACATCATCACAAGTGGTTTGCCGATTCTGTCAAGCTCGAAACGTGCATTTATGTTTCAGTTCTGATTTACTAGAAAAGTTTATTAAACTTTCTTTAGACTTTACAATTCTTTTCACACACAGCGATAATTCGCTCCATAATTGTAGTTTGGACTTAGTTTATGCTAAGCAACTCTCGATGTAGTTTAATTCATTATTTTCTGGCAATCTAGCTAGAAGCGGAAAATAATTCTTTTAGTTATTTTAATTATGTGCTTAGAGTTTAAGTTAAAATAAATACATTGTTTTTTTTTTTTTTTTTTTTTTTTTTTTTTTTTTTTTTTGACTGTTGTATTTAGTTAGTGCCACTCTGAGCGGTATATAAATGAACCTAGCTGCTGTACCGTTGAGCTCGGGTTTGAATCAAAGGAATGCATGGGTGTTTGTAGGTGTATATTATCTGTGCGGCAAGGAGGCACTCAAAATACACAGCGAGCCGAAAGTTCTCTGGAGTGATTGCTGGTATGGAAAAAATTGGTCGGGAGACCCTCAAACTCCCTCCCTCCCGAAGTCCATCCTAATTCCTGTGGAAGTTAATAGCTAGTGCGGCGGAACTACCTTTGAACTACCAAATGTGCAGAACTGCTGTGTAGCCCCATTTATACCTGCATTTAGTTAGTACTATAATTATGGAATTTGACACAATGATATGGAATCCGTGACACGATGATACGGAATTTGCAATTAGCATTTTTGCAGTTTTGGAGTTGTAACATGAATACAAGTGTTTATATGAAGATTTTTCGGATCGCCGTTTTTCGGCAATATAGTCTACGTAAAATGTTTTGCTTATTTATGGTTAATTTAAAATTTTTTAATTTTTAGAAGCGTTTAAGTAAAAATTTATAATTCTATCTGTATTTTGAAACAACAATTAAGTTTAAAAGTATCTGAGTTTATTACAAAACTTTAAAGACAATTCGAAAACCAAGCCTGACAGTGGCCCTAAACCCTTTGTAAAGACTTATGTATAATGTAAATCTAAGCAAATTTTGAAGACTCTATACTAGACTCATACATCCAAATGAAAGCTCTGTGTAGAAACATTACTATATGTAACTCTTAACTCGCTTTTAAGTATTAACAAAATGTACTTTAACATATTTTTTGCATATAAAATATAAAAAAAAATATATTACATATCAAGCAGTTTTACTACACACATTTCTTCGTTATTCCAATCTAAAAGTTTCCAACGATCTGAAAATCGCATCATGTACAGAGCGAAAAATTGAAAGCAAATGTTTTTCTGCGCAATATCAATTCGAATTTTATTTAGATGAAAATAAATTTCACTTGAAGACATAGATGTTTACTTTACATAAAATTCTCTTTGCCAATATTAATTCGCAGTATTCTGTCGTCCGATATACATGTACTCAAAAAAATGAAGTAGATAATCTTGCAATATTTTTTACAAATGCATGCAATTTCAAACGTGTTATATCACTTGAAATTACTTTTTCGTCAAATTTTATTTTGCAAGATTATGTAAAAGCTACATCTTTACGATCAAAAAAAGGAGAAAAATTTTGGATAACTTTATACCCCTGAACGTTACACGAAAATGTGCCAATTATAAATGCACAAATATCCTGTAAAAGATCCTCCCCGGAACGTGTATTACAAAACAATCAGATGAAGTCACCTAAAATAACGAGTAGATTTTTAATATTTTACTATAAAAATTAACATTATTTCAGCCCATTAAATAGAAACGTAATTGCTAGAACCTTTATTTATTTCGTTAACTTTATCCTAAAGTTCATAAATAATACGAAAATTACTAATTAAATTTAAAAATTCACAAGAAATATATCTGAAATTACAAAAATTGAAAGTAATATATAGTGTAACCCGAAGAAATAAATATTGATTCTACTCCTGGGATACTTACCTTTATTTAACCATTTAGAAAAAACGCAGGAATTTCGTAAGTATGAAGAAATATCAAATTTATAAACACTTTCTGTAATCGATTTCAAGTGCTTTCATTTAACATGCTTATCTCAAGTGATTTTGAGTTCTATGAATTAGTGAAGAGAAATGTTAACAATACCATAGCAACAAGATTCAGCGTACATTGGATAAATTTGCAACCCTGGTTGTTAAGGTTAAATAAAAATTTCTTCTTCAGCCTCAAGAGTGAAAAATGACTCTCATTAAAGTTTTTTTTCAGCTTTTTATTTTAGTTAATATTAATCGAGAGAAATCTTTAAATATGACTGACAGCTAAAATAAAATTTTGCCACTGTGTTGCCACTTAAGAAAACTAAAGTTCCTGAGATTAAATAACTTGCTGTATCTATTATTTTCTCATTCATTAATTTTCATATCTTAATTGAAAATTGTTACATCAAAAATGTTCCGTTTATATAAGTATTGATAAAAATCATGCAGCGTGAGGGATATTTGTACTAATTTAATGCGGCTGCCAAGTAGCGTTAACATAATCTCTAATGAAGAAATGTATGAAGTGTTGTTCTCCAAGATAGTACAGTGAGTGCTTCTGTATAGATGTAATTAAAATTTTGCCTGATTATTTGGCACGATGTCGCAACTTCTACAAAAGTGGTGTGACCAAATCAGCATGAGTTTCTTTGAGCGAAAACCAATTCTTGTTGGACCACCATTTCCTAAATTTCTCACCCACTTATTTTGCTGTTTTCTTTTATCGAACTAGTGCTGCGAATTCTTTTTTTTTTTTTTTTTTTTTTGACAAACATTCGAAACGAGACGCGGCAAATTAATAACAGATGCATTCTGTCAATGTTCCTTGAAGTGTCAATTGCCGTGGAGAAAGCATTTGTGTACTATGGATTTTTGATGGTGATTAGATAACATTTTAAGTAGAACTGCCCAACAAGCATTTTCAGTGAATTTAGTGAACGTAACATTAAGAATTTCTGGATCTTATATTGTTGCAATTTTATAGCACTTTATAAATCTTCTAAAACAGAAATGTCATAACTTCATAAAAATAAAATGTCTGAAAGTGTAATGAAGAAAATACTCACTCTACCACTGAATACGTCATAACTGTCCTTTAATCCAATCTCGTCACCGTAAAACACAGAATTACATCCGGGCAGTGCCATCAATAGATAAAAAGCAGCCATGTGGAACTTTGGCTCTATCCTAGAAGCTAATCGAAAGGTATCCGAACTCCCCATATGCCACATAGGCATGGGAAAGTGCTTTGGCCATTTGGATACCTTTTTTAATCCAGTAACTTCATCAGCCATTTCTTTTCCATTACCTACGAGAATAGGATAGTCCAGGAGATCCACGTACTTCAGAAGATCTTTTTGAATTGTCAAATCTACAGCGAGGCTTTCGGCAAACTTTGCGGAAACGATGAGGACTTTCCTTGCTATCCGGTGCATCCAAAGGGAAGAAGGAGGTGTGTCTAAGACAGTCCTCCATTTGCGGATGATTAAAAGCAAGTCCTGGAGATTGAGAACGTGCATTTTGTCCATATGTTTCATATAGAATCCATCTACTCCTGTCTCAAGCCAATAGCTGAGAGCTTTTTGATATTCTTGCTGTACCATGGAGTTCGACCAATTTAGGACATAATGTCCACCGAAGGTCCTTTGCGTTAATTCCCAGTCTTCCGGAGGTGGCCCTTCAGAACTTTCCATTTCTGGTGGATCCTGAAAAATATGGGATAGGTTAGAAGTTTGTCCAATGCATGACCTGTCAAACGTTTTAACGTGGATCATGTAATATTATTAAAAATATTTAAAAGTGCGAGATGTACGAAAACCAAAACGAAAATTACAGAAGATATAAATCTTCGAAAATAAACGGAGACTGAGGAAGGCGGCATTATGAGATTGGTATTAAGGCTAATGGCTAACTGTAAATAACTGTAAAAATTATCTTTTTTTTATATTAAAGCATATTTTCCATGTTTAATTTTTTAAAATCCATTTCTAATAGTTTTGCATTTTTATGTGTTGTGAAAAATAAGCAAATTAATTACCTCTAAAATTTCAGTGCATGGTTTGAAGTTCAATATCTGTTAAAATTATATGGAAAGAACACTCCCGCTAGTTCCGCGCTAGTCCGCCTTTCTCCCGCTAGTTCCGTGCAAAATTTTTTAATGTCCTCTTACACGAAAAGAGTGTATTACTTTATGTTAGAATCTTAGTTTTTCGAACTTACATATAGCCTAAAGAACAAAACCGTATATTATGAATTTTATTTACCAATTTTGATCCTTATACGTCTGCTAGATGTTTTGAGAAAATACATCCAAAGTACTTAATAACAATTGTAGAGAAAATTTTTTAGAAACTTCCAAGTTCTTTGAAAGTGTCTCTTTTCCGTTTCCAAGTTTCTCTCAAGTGGCGACAGGTTTTATTTTCGCCATTTAAGAGCCATGAATACTGAAATCTTCAGTTAAGTCTTGCTTGAATTTCAGTGCCTATTTTTGGAACTCGGAGTGTTCTTTGAATAGCACATAGTCTGGCAGGCATTTTAATCAAACGAGTGCAACAATTTTGCGCAAAGAAATCATTCTAACAATTCCAAAATATAAAAGGATGCACTAATACTAAAAGCATTTAGAGATTATTTTTCTCTTTTTAAACTGTGCTACATTCCGTTACGTTATGCTAACGAGACATTATCATGCCCTCCCTGGCGAATATTGTATTCACGAGGTATAAATTTAATTTAACATCGAAGGCACTTGGCAAGTTGTTAGTTGTCAAAGGTGTTGCTATTCGACTTTCCATATAGTAGTCAGTTTACGCGCAATTAGTACAAATGTTTTAACGTTATGTATAAAGCATTGCTGTGCAGAAGAATTACAAGGGAATGTAATATTTTTTATATACTACAAAGCTGCAAAATGATTTGTAACTTTATTGGTCTTGCTTATCACATTCATTCGTTACAAAGTTATGTGTATAAGAGGCTATATTTAAAGACTCTAGCACAGGTGAGAAAGATGTAGGAAATTTTAAAACTTTAGAATAAAACTTAAGATTAAACTTAAGATTTAAAACTTAAGATTAAATTTAAGGACTTTAGAAGAGGCTCGAAAATTTACTAAAAGATTCTAACAACTGATTTAATTCCTATTACTGAATGGTATCCTTACATAGTTCCGTGAAGGACTCCCTGCCCTTAGGCAGATAGCCCTCAAGTACTTTGCCGTAACCAAATAAAGAAATCAAACTTTACAATGGCTCCCATCCCTAGAATTTTTAGATTCTATAAGTAAGGTAAACGGTAACTAGGAGTTTAAAGCATTTATGGTAGAGATAAGTTAGATTTAAAATCAATTTATATGAACAGAGTGAAGAATAATGAGAAAACTAAGCTAGTCGTCGATCAAAATTAAATTCAGTATTGTTTTAAATAATTACGGGAGACTATTATTGTGCTGCCAAAAAGCGAATTGTTTTCATTATTTGTATATTAATTCGTGAAAAGTTTACTTTTGTCATCAAATTAGGTTCTGTTTAAATATTTATTAGTCCAAAGGGCCTTTTTCCCTAAAGGACTATTGTTTTCGTTTTGCGAATTTGCGTTGGTTCACTATGAATGTACGTTTCACTTTTCAAACTGTTGCCACCAAATATTATAGTCCTGCATTATATTTGAAAAAAATTAAATAATGAAGAATCTGCATAAATGTATGTATGTTTCTCGCATTGTGATAAAACATAGATACATAGAGCCATCGAATTTTGAATGACGTATTCCTACTGCGAATATGGCCATATGGAAGCTCAAACTTGAAATTTGGAATTTGTTTTATTATAAATTTCATATTTTGAAAACCTTTAACGAATTTGTGTTCATCAATCTCAAGGATTTCAAATCGAGAAATGGCAACGTTGTACAGAAAAAAAAATTTTATCTCCAGTGCGAGAGACTCTGTACTGAAATTCTAAAGGCTATGCTCAATTTAAAACTATTTTGTGATATTGCTCTTGAACTAAATTTTATGGTTTAAGTGCGAAAAAAATGTGATATTTAATAAATAAAGGTAACTGACAAAATGTTAAAAAACGCCCCTTTGGACGTAATTAAAATCTGAAACTTTTCAGAATTTTATCTTTCTTTTGTTGTTTAGTTAAATTATTATATCTGAAGTGATAATAACTTAAAAGAGAATAAAAATGTTGTAGGTAGTCAGCAATAGTAGTTGTGCAGTCAGTATTTGTGGATTGTCTGTAAGCATTAGCAAAAAGTTCATTTTTGAAGCGTCTAATGTTTACAGAAATTATTTGACCGATGTTATACTATTAATCTTAATACTCGGAAGGCTTTCCTTACATCAGAATTTATACGTAATTCACCAGTTTAATCTTTACATTCTTCAAATAGTTTATACATGATGTGTTTGGACTTATTTTAGAAAGCCCCTGGCAGATATCTTCTATCATCTTCTTCTCTTTGAAGAAAAGAAATCTGTGCCTTATTGTGTTAGAAATCAACAGAAGTATTAAAACTCTGTGCCGAACTAACAACAGATTGCTTTTTTGCCTAAATTTTAACGGGTGAGTAGAATGAAACTCAACTAGTTTATTAACTTACTAAATTATGCGGTGACATTTACCAGTCATTTGGGATTTCTTAAAATTTATTTTGATCTTATCTGTAGAATTTACTTCCGTTTGAAAAATTCATTCTGAAAGATTTTGATAAAATTAACTGAGTTGTTGAACACGATAAGTGATGTGTTTTCCTCTGTTTTCGTATAAATGGACGAGACTTTGACTATTCGATCAAAATGCCCGAGTGATAACATTAACTGTGATCATATTGAGCGACATCTACTATAAAGGTACTAGTTACCGCAAAATGTCTTGCCAAACTTGGGGGAAAATGGAACTGAAATTCTTGAAATGCTAAGGCAAGTATATGAAGTGTTTACGATACAGTTATTAGCATTACACAAATAAGTTAAGTGTTTGTAAGAAGATCGGGAAGACGTGATTGGTGATCACCAATCACGTCTCCCCATCAGGTGAGTAAACCTTCCAGTGAATCAACTATGGAAATACGTTAATTTATTTATATACTTAAAGTTTTAACTTTAAGAAAACGTTCTATTATGGAATGGAAGAGGAATTTTGTGAAAGTTTTGAAACAGATTATGCATTTCAATATCCGTTGAATTAGAAGTGCTTTTATGGAGATCCCTTTGAAAACATAAATTTTATCTATTTTTAACTGAAAGATGTTAGAGAACAAAACTGTAAACATTGAAAACATCTCATCGTCCGTTCATTTCTCTGTATGTGATGACACTAACGCGATACTGAAAAGTGAAAACACGATCAGTGTGTTCATTACTTTTATTGCAAGTTTTGCTTCGTGAAAAGTATGTAATGCCGTTAACGGATTTTTTATAAAACTGTTTATTTGCGCTCCGTTGAGATAGGGAACAAAATGGAGTTACGAATTGCTAAGTAATTTGTATTCGAGCCTAAAAGGAATCTAAAAGAAATTCATAGAATTTTGATACTGGAGTCTACGATGTAGCGTCAGCATTATTCAAGAGAGTTAGACATTTCAACGGAGGTGAGAACTCGTGACTGATAATGTGAAAGAAGAATAGCTTTCAACTGCTGTCATTGACGAAAACGTTGCCCGTATGTTGCTTTGCGTGCAGTTTGATTAAATGTAACTGGAACGATATTTGAAGGTTAAGTTTGTACACACAAAACATGTGTCCACAACTTTTAATATCGAATCTGCGATGAGAAAACTATGTGCACAAATAGCCACAAAATGTTTACAAAGCCCGAAACTGAAGAAATCAAGAAGGCTGTGATTTTTCGAATCGTGATGCTTTCAATAAAGAGATTGTAGCTGGATGGATATATAATGACTGAATCTTGGGTTTGCAAATGCGATTTGACATTGAAGTCGCAGAGCAAAGAGCGAAAGATGAAAGGAAAACCGGGAACACATGAATTCCCAAAAAGGTAAATCCAAGATAAAAATCATTGCCAATTTTTTATATTCTTGGAATTGTGTACCATGCATTCTTCTCAAAAGAGCAATTTCTAAATGCACCTATGAATACCTTAAGAAGTCTACGAGATCGTACACGATGTATCTGACTCGCAGTTATTCAGAGGACGTTCGTCGATTTTGTATTATGATAATGCTCTATCGCATACGATGTTATTGTTTCATAAATTATTGGTAAGTCGTATTTCAGTCTCCTTGTCTGACTGGATTATTTGATTATTGCAAAGCAAACAACGCTATCTGCTAAGGATAATTATGCCTTCATGGAAGCAATATGATCGAATATCCTTCCCTTTTAGCCTACTCCAACATCCTGCGGCCTTTTAATGTATCCAAAAATTAAAATCCAGTTTCAAAGGCGGAATTTTGTGAACGAGAAGTGAGAAACCTCAGGACTAGTAAGATGAAGCAATCGAAGCAGCTATCAAATTTAGACCTGCAGCGCCGCTTCCAATAACTGAAACTACATTACCGAAAATGAATGTGGTTATTTCGAAGATGACCATATTAGTCAAATTAAGATTTTGTGTTAAGTCAAATAGTCATTAATTCAAAAAAAGATTTTGTTTTAATTTAAATAAAGATTATGTGTATTCTGCTGACGAACTTTCTGAAAACCAGTCAACAAAATCACTGTAAATGATCTTACACG